CTAATACACTGTGAGATGAATTTTCAGCAATGCCTGAGCAATGCTGGAGCGCAAGTCCCCTGAAAGTCAGAAGGATTTGCATTCCTATACTATTTCCAGGTTTTTTATAATCCTGTGGGATCTTAGTACGAAGAAGAAAGGTGCAGCTGGCGAGGAGATGCCTTTTCTGTCTGAGTTTGTGACAGCAAGGGGGAAATCTTCTCCCCATTAGGTGATACAGCTGGCTGCCTTTGGAAAAAAAAAAAAAAGTGTGTGGCCCATTTGGGACTAAAATTCTACGTGCAGAAAACCAATGACAGACAAAAATGTTTCTCCATACTATGGCCAGAATAAGCTTTAAAAAATTGTTGCTGGAAACATACCTTAAATCCACCAGACAGTGAAAGTTGGAACATAACTTGTTTGCTTAACTCAGTGCTAGTACAATAAATGACTTGCATAAGGCAATTCGTTTACCATTGTTCAAAGAGCAAGGATTATACAAACGGTCTATTGTGTGTAGTGCTTTCTGGTGGTTTAACTTTCTTGGATCGAGAATGACTTAATGAAAGACCACAACTCAATTCCTGGTTGTAATTTTATGGGAAACTACAAGGCTATATTGTCAAAGGTGCAGTTTGTTGCCTCCTTTCATTTCAGCTTCATTAACCTTGGAAAATGAGGCCACCATATTGTAGTATTATTATTATTATTATTATTTTATCCTTCCTCTTGGTCAGATTGGCAGGGCTGTGGTCAAAAAGAGATTTTCCTCCAGACCAGCCTGCAGGGCCCAGTGGGAGGTTTTTGTCTGCCTCTGTTGCACAGAGCCATTTATTGTAGTAAACCAGGATTTTTAATCTAACACCTGCAATCGTGGTGGGGAATACTGGCAGTCCTTTTGGTCTCTCCTTCCCAAAGACTGGGCTACATGATTGTCTTTGCAACTTTTCTGCTAGGAGCTGCAGATGTACGATACCATCAAAGCTGTGGCAAACGTGGTGTATCAATTGCTACAGCAACCTGTAAGTTATTTACCTTATTCCTTTTTTCTGCTCACAGGTACCCTCTCAGACGAGGCAGCTCTTTCACGTTTCTGACTCCGGGACCACACTGGGACTTCACCCTGGTGAGTAAAACAACTGGTGGGTGCATATTGCAAGAGCACGCAAACAAAAGCAGGAATTCAGAGGTGCAGGTTCCTCTGCCTGGAAGAGAAAGAAAATCAACACATTCTCCTCTACCTGGCTAGACACTTTCTGAGCCACTGGGGCTTCTGAGCTTTAGCCGGAGGGTGCTTTTTGCACACAGGGATTAAGAGAAGGCAGGATATCCGGGACACGGTGGTTTCTGTATAAACTTCTTTCTGATGTGTTTCAGCAGTCCTGCTAACTAAGCTGGCAATGCAATAGACTAGATGTAAAACGTGGTGTAGAAGTAAGCCTTTTTTTTTCTTTTTTTTTTTTCCTTAAATGCAAAAATCTGTATTTTATTTGGTATAGAGAAACTACCTGGAGCAAGTGCTTGGCTTAACTGCTGTAAGCCTTGTACTCTCTTCTCTCCGTCCTTTAACATGCATCTCTTACTGGGGAAGTGGTTCCCTTCCAGCCTCTAGCGCCGATACAGGACGCTGGACCCCTCTGGAGCGCGGTTCAGAGGGCGTACACTGGCTTTGTGTTCTGAATTGCTGCTTCATGACGTCTGTCCCGCTTTATGCACTGAGGACTGCAAGGCAATTAGTCGGCTGAAGTAGGTGCATAGTGCCTGGTGGTGTGTATATACATCTTGTCCTATCTTAAAGCTCATTGTCGTGAGCTGCCTAAGATGATTTGCCCCCCACTGCCCCTGGAAGTGGGGATGCTGTCCTCAGCCAGCAAACTGATCTGGCTGAAAAACTTGCCTTACCAAAAAGAAAACAAAGAGTTTGGGATGAGCTGATCCAGCTCACTGCACAAGCTGTATGAATGCCTGTGGCAGCACGAGGAAGGGCGTGAGAATATGTCTGGAGGTGGGGAAAAGGACAGGACTACCTTTTATGAAGGAAATCCCATCGCAAATCAGCTGGAGCTTCTTGTGAAAGCATGCATTTAGACAGGCACTTTGCTGGCTGTGCCCTGAAGGGCAGCCATGCACAATTTTGAGGCTGCACGAACACCAGTCCAGTATGGGAGTGGATGAAACAAAACCATAATCTCTTGCAGATTTTTCTTTTGCTTAATTTTAGAAACTTTCATCTGGCTACTACAGCTACATTAAACATATACATTTGAATATTACAAAGCCCTAGAAATTATATTCTTTCAAATTTGGAAATACTGTGCTCTAACATCACAAATTAAAAGCATTTTGATTGAGTTTGGAGTTATTCCTGTTCTTTGCATGTTTTTTAATCTGCTTTTATTTGGCTATACACATATTCAGCTCAACTCTCAATTACAGTTAGAACGTATTGTATGAAATGACAGACTGCAAAACCCAAAGAAACTGTTTTTGAAGGACTTAATTGCTTATCTGCATTCCTCCATCATATACCTCATCGACCTGCTCCGCTGCCACTTCTCCCTTCAAGCCCAAATAGCTTCATTTGCAGCTACAGGTGATGGGTACCTCTGAACTCCAGTCCTTTTCTGGACATCCAAACTTTCCTGTGACTAGCTAGAGGTTAGTTTTTGACTGATACACCTAACACTGGAAGAGAAGCAATATAGGAGAGAAAGAATAACGAAGGAGAGCTATGAGCTCTGCTGTGCAGTTTGGTTGCCCAGCAGACATACCCTTACTGCATGGCTGGGGACCAGGTCTCCACTTAGAGGCTTTGCCAATGTAATTATGCTGACATACATTGACCAGAGCGCTGTATTTTGGCAGCAGCCTGTTGGCAAGCAAGAGCTCTACTTTTCTTGGTGTCATGTCTCATGTGCTGGCGTAAGTGTGTCACACAAGGGGGGTTTTTGCCCCCATGACCACCAAGTATTCGTACACCAGTCACAAATAGCATCTCTTCATGCCATAGTTTGTGCAGCTGCTTGGCCAAAAGTCTGTAAAATGTACCTGGTCTGAGCCTCAGGGGAAGTGGGTAACTCAGCCAAGTGTCCTTTTCATGCCTGCAGAGATGGAGTGCCTTTAAAGAGAAGGACTAGCGCGTGTTCTGCATAATTCTAAGAAAAGACTCCTGTAGTTTGGGTTAAAACATCCTCTGGATGGCTTCTGACTGGAAGCAAGGTTACTCATCGTCTGTTTTCCTTTCTTCCTTCTCATGAAGGAGGATTCGTTTATGAGAAACAGGCACTTGATCTTTGTTGACTTAACAGTCCTGATCCACATTCCTCACCTGACGCCTTATTGGTGTTTTATGACTTCAGGTGGGCAATAAGCAGCAAAAATCAGTCTGATCCCTGAAGAACAAAATATCCTGGGTTTAGGCAAAAGCCCTTAGGAGGAGAGAGGAAAACTAGATTACTAGAATTGTTTTCAAATTGAAAAACAGTACTTTCTTAAAAAGCGTTCCTGGAGCTTTAATCGGAATCCTTGAAATGTAATTAACATTCATGCTCATGGCGTTGTTTAGGTCTTTCTAAAATAAAGTCACAAAATATTTCGATTTCCCCTCCCAATTAGCATTTTTTTATGCTTCTCCTTTACAATACCTCTTTGAGAGCCTAAAACGAGTCTCACGGTTTTTACAGTTTAATAACTTTCGTAGAGGTAACTTTTTCCACATGACTTGAGTTTCGTGAGAAGGTTAACGTATCAGATCTCTGATCGTGACCGTCTCAAATATGTGAGAAAACAGTATTGTAGCAGTTCCTTTTCTATCATGTGGCTTTAAACGCCCGGATTTGAGCAGTCTGAAGAGGCCATTTTCTTGGAATCTGTTTCTGTTCTGGCACCACAGAGGAATGATACAGCTGGCTCTGTAGTGAAATGTCTAAGTTTTTGTATGAAACTATATTGGGCAAAGGAAATGGGGCCCAGCCAATGCAGTACTTATTGCATAAGTCTAGCCAGTTTAAAAACAAAACTTTGGCCTTCACTTCGTGTCTGGGCTTTGGTCTGGAGCTGTATGTTAAAGATGTTAATATACTTGACTACATAAGGAACGAATAATATTCAGACCAAAAAGGCGTGGTGTCTTTGTCTTTATTGCAAGTTTTCTTCTGTTAAATAGATGCTAATATCCTTGACTTACATATGGGAAAAATAATCTGCAGACCAAAAAGGTGTGGTTATAGCAGTCTTTTATTGCAGGGTTTGATAAATAACCAACCCTGAATATTTGACTAAACCTAAAAGAACAAACGTCTGCATTTGCATGTGTTCTCAAGCCTACCAAAGGTCTGCTCTAAAAGTATGGAGTGTGCTGGGACATTGATTCAGTGTCAATGTTATAAATATGGTAAGACAGTGTCTGCTGTGAGAATTTTTGCTCTGTAGTTAGCAAGTCTGTCAGTGAAGGGACTCGCTCACGTGACAGAGTCAGTATCTTGTCTTTACAAATACAGAAGAAAAAAAAAAAAAAACATAAAAACTGAAATCATTGGGGAATGTTGTACTTGAATCCACTTCTGTAGCTAGTCTGAATAGCTGAGGAAAAAAAACCACAGCACCAAAACCCAACATATAAGAAATTAGTGAGTGTGCTTCTGTAATACCTCACCATTACATGTGAGTATTTAATAGTTAAATGGTGGAGTCAGCATAGTGCGGACAGGCGAGAAGACACATTGGAGCCTAATACTACGTCATGCGAAAGCAACTAGCAAACAAAAGAACAGGTTTCCAAGAACCCTTCAGGGAAACTGGACACCCCCTCAACAGCATCAGATTTTCAAAGGAACCATGGAAATTAGGCTGGCCAGCACTTAAAAATAATTTGAATGAATACTTGTATTCAAACATTTCAAATGCACTTACAATGATGACAAACCTCTATTAAAGCTGAAACTTTATTTGAATATATTATAAAGTTATTTTCAGATATTATTAAATTCTAAAAAAAAAAGAGGAATTACATATTTGCGCCTGAGGGAAGGTCAAGCTGCTGGACTGGTAGGACACAAAACTGAAATTTGCTGAACTTCAGACTGGACTTGAGGTAGTGGTTCCCTCTGCAGCTGCAGAGAGGGTGTTTCCCTCATTTCACCTAGTTCAATGTCTAGTCTGTAAAACTGATAAACAACATGTAGACCAATATAAAAACACAAAATATTTTCTTTTCTTTTTCCTTTGTACTTAATGAAGTGGAAGAGGATGAACTTGACTTATTCTGAAATGTTGAAGGACAAGGGTCAAACACAGGATGAAAATCAACTACTTGTTTCATGGGTGACCAAGCAATTTAGGCTCGTGACCCATGTTTTTTCCAGAGCAGGTGATTTACAGGCTGGCACAGTCTAACAGGAGGAGTCCACAATTGGTTTTCCATTATCTGGGTAATGACAAAAATAATGTAGAAGCCCAGATAGTACTGAAATAGTGGGAGGTATCAGGAAGCTCAGTGCAGATGTCTTTGATCATCGTTCCACTGGCTTGTGCTCTTCTTTAGAAAGGAACATAGCTGAGAGCTCCCTGGCCAAAAGCCTCATCTTTCTTCCACAAAAATGCTTATTAGTCTAAAGAATAAGGAAAAACAAAAAAAGGACTAAAGTCCTTTGCATTCCTAACAGGGATGCTTCAGCCACAGCTGTCTACTGGCCATGTCCAAAGTAATTAATTAAATAGGTGATCAAAATGCCCTCACCTGCACACATCCAGTTGATTAGGGAACTGCACTATAAAACAAATCTCTGATATGCGGTAAGAATCCCCCGAATAAAATATATTTGGGTATGAAAAGGTAGCTGAGGAGCAGGAACAACCAACCTAGTGCAAAACTGCTTTATGCTGCCACTGCCTCCAGAGTGAAACCTGTAGATCCCCCACACTCACAGATCCCTGCCCAAGCCCAGCCGTGCTGGTGAGCAAACATTGTAAGAATTAGTCATGGTATCTTCTGGTGTCCCCTAGAGACCTTGGATCCTAATAATCACCAGGTCTGACCCTCTTAGTACCTAACTCTTTCAAAAAACCCAACTTTATTGCTGGATTGCTGACCTCAGAAACCACAAAAAATGTTTCATTTAACTAAATGAATCTCAAATCATTTCACAGTGGTAACCGCTGCATTCTGTCCTGCTCCTGAGATTTCCTGCTTAAGACTTTGCTCACAACCACAATTACGGGAGTCCAGAGAAACAAGCTTATAGGCATATAATTTATAGGTATTGATCAGGTAACAAACCTCATGAAACAGCATAAGCATGCTTTGCGTTTGTTTTCAACCTTTCATTTTTTATTAGTTAGTTGGGGATGCACAGAAAGAAAATATCTCGCTCGCTTTATAAAACCCAGAGCCTTCTTGCTCAATGCAAATCAGCTATAACTCTGTTCAGCTATAACTCTGTTTCATTTCTTACAGAAGAGGAAGCGCCGAGAAAAGGACGATGATGTAGTCAGTCTTTGCAGCCTTGACTTCAAGGTAATCAAAACACATTCCTCTACAATATTGTGCAATCATCTGCTTTGTCGACTGTAGTGGCTTCTGCTGGGGAATGCCATACTTTGTGTTTGCATTTCACCATCAACAGTTTAGAGACGTGTACAGCTGTGTTTGCTCTTGCATACACCTCTGGGGTGGGCTGAGTCCTGCTAGTGATCTCCATAACACTTTGTGATCTCCTGTTTTAATCATTTGAATCCTAAATCCGCCACAGTTTTAATGTTGTGTGAAATAAATGTGTGTAGCCTGTACTTAGCAAGAGCGTAAGCATTTTCAAGTGCCAGGAAGCAAAACTGTGCAAAGACCCTTCAAATGTTGCTTTTGTTTGACTTAAGTTAGTGCACTTCGTTGTATTGCAAACGAGCTGGACTGGCTGGGTGGTAAATTGTTCTTAAAGCTATGGATTAAAGTCACTTACAAAAGTGAGGGTGGGGAGGTGCAGAGTTGCATCTTTTTCTGCGGATTATCCAAGTTTGGTTTTCTGGAAAAGAAACTACTTCCCGCTCTCCATCAGCCCTGAATGTCTCACTGTCAGACACTTCTCTGAAGAGAGGAAGGAAGAGAAATAGGGTTTTTCCTAGGAAGGTAACTATTGAGTTGAGAGTTAACTAAGTGGGTTTTACGGTTTATTAGACCGGGATTAAAAGTAATTTGTTAGTGGGGAATTTCCTGTTTGACCTAATGACCAGCGCATCCTCTGTTGTTGTCACCTACTTTGCATTTGTGCATTATTTATTAGCCTCACTTAACCTGGCTGCTGCTGGATGCTTTCCATGACCAATTGTCCTGTCCAACAGGCTAACTCTGGGCTTTGACCCCTCTAGATGAGATCTCCTGTTTCAGATAAGGCCATCCCTGTAATTTCCCAGTAGGGGAGGGAAAAGAGCAAAAAAAGATTTATCTGCAGAGGGCTGTGACACAGCAGTGCTGATGCCTCTGAACTGACTGTGTTTTGGGCTTGTTTTGTTTCTGAGGTCTTTCTGGTTTTCTGATGCAGATGGGAGTGTTACGGCTAGGAAATCTGCCCTCAGGGAAGAGGATTTGCTTTTTCTTTTTTTTCTTTTTAATTGGACTACCTTTTTATGTGTTGGGCAAAATTGCATGAATTAGGGTTCTCCCACAAAGCAGTGACTTCAAGGTGAAACTGAAATATCAACAGTAATTTGCGTACTCGCCTTTTAAGAGTTTTAACAGAAATCTTCCAAGGAAGGGAAATCCCTAGGCTAATGCAGTCAAAGTTCAGACTGCAGCTTTTGTTTAACCTGACTTTTTAACATGTTCTTTTGAAAGGGTCAGGCTCTCCTGGACATTTGAGAGTTTGAAGCACACCCCCCAAATACACTCCTGTGTTCTTGTTAAAATACATTAATGGTACTGATTGGATTGTAATTTTCAGGCTTTTTGATACCAACTCTCAAGGTTATTTAAAGAGCCCCACAGTCAACTATTTCTAGTCAAATTTTCAAAACTCATCTCCATCAGACAGGGATATATCTATTTCATTGATGAAATAAGGACACAAGAGAAGATCAAGACATTTTAATAACGTTACGTGTACATCTGACCATATATTGTTTATCCCCGTCTTACAGATGGGAACTGATTTTTCAGAGTTTGTCTCTATAAAATGTCTAATTCCACAGCATAGCTGTTATTTCAGCTCCACTGTCTCCCCCAGCAAATATAGCTCAGCTGACAAGCTGCTGTTTTGTCACCATACTTGTAATAACGGAGGAGTTTTGCCAGCATACTGCATTCACACTCCTACTAGACATAATTGGGCTGACAAAAGCGCCGTGTAGATGGTGATCCCATGGAGGGCTGCTTTGGAGCAGGGAGTCGCACCCTAGTATCCCACACTTGGCACCCTACCCAATGTATGCTTTTTAAAATAAAGGCAGGGGGAAGGGGCTAATTAATTTGGATGTGTACCTTTC